TCTCTTCTGTGTTTCCTCCTTAAAGCATTTCTTCCAAGGAATACTGCATCTTTCCCAATAAGTAAGAATGTAGAGATACATCCCTCGAGTCACTTTGTTTCCTCTAAGATGGAGACCAACTGTACTGCACATACATAGATGCTACTTAGTACCAGCAGAGACACAAACAGAACACTCTTCAGGTGATTTCAAAACCCCTTATATTTATGCAAAATGAGATCCTGTCTTTGTCTTTATTCTTGTTGCTATCTTATTTAACCACCATTGTGGAATATCGTGAGCAACTGTCTATTTGACATGACTGCTTCATGCTCTAAAAGCTCAGTGATAAAGGAGGAGAGATTAATTATCTAGTTAATTCTCTAATTACCCTTCTTATTTCTATAGATACATACTTTTACTTCTCTGACCACTTGGTTCTGGCTTCCCAAAGGGTGAAACTACTAGCAGCCTGTAGTCTTCCATCTTTGAAGTCACTTTACTCCCCAAGAACACTCCGTTTCCTGCCTCCATGTCTATTTGTTGATCGTCTCCATGCCAGGTATGCACTTCTATCTCTCAGAATTCCTAGTTACCTGAAGGCTTGGTCCAAGTGCCCCCTACATGAGCCCTTGCTTTATTCTCTAGATGCTCATGCTTTTCCCTTAAACCACTTAATATCTATCTGTATGTGTTTTCTTATGTTCTGGTTGTCACGATCACCTAGATGGTAAGCTTGTTGAAGGCAGGGACTACTTCCATGTATCAATAGTGGCTAGCACAGTATCTGGCATATAATAAACAATAAATAATAACAAACTTTTCAATTGAGTGAATGGCTTACCTCTAAGTGGCATCTATTGTAAAATTATGTGGATGTGTTCTTAATTTTCTTAGAGTTCAGCCCTTCGCATGGATTTGTCAACTAACATTACCAATAGATCCCATTTACCAGAGGAAAAGCAGTCTTGGGGTAGCTTCAATCCATACAGAGCATGATTTTTGGTTTAGCTCTCATCTATGTCTGCTATACATAGAGATACAACTGTGATGACCACATTCCAGGTCTTTTCTAGCCCTATGGCCACATAAAGAATCTACCAATTGGCTTAGCCAGGAATTCTGAGTAAAATGATTCCTGAATTATTCTGTCCATCATATGTATAGACAGGCTAAATAGCGAATGCGGCCATTCTTGTTCACTCATTTTTCAAGCCTTACTTCCCAACTGGGGCTTTGTGTTAGGGCCAAATTCCATTAACTTTTGGAGTCCTAGTGGTGTTGCTCTGTATTATTAAGCTCTTGTTACTATGTTAAGCAGCTAGGTGGTACAGTGGATGCAGTGCTGGGCCTGGAGTCAAGAAGACTTGTCTTCATGAGTTTAAATCTGGCTTCAGACACTTACTAGCTGTGTGACTCTGGTCAAGTCACTTAAACTCTGTTTGATTCAGTTTCTTTATCTCTAAAATGTGCTGAAGAAGGAAATGGCCAACCACTCCAGTATCTCTTCCAAGAAAACCCCAAACCAGGATCATTGAGAGTCAGACACAACTGAAAAACAACTTAACAATAACAACTATATTCTTCTGCTATTGAATTCTATTAAAATATTAATATTTTAATAATTAATAGATCAATACTGTTAGTTATGTTACCGTTCATTAACTAATTAATAAAATAAATAATATTAATTATATTAAAATTAATAAATAATTTACTTAATACGTGAAGTTCTTTTTTTAAAAATTAATTTATGTTGATTTATCAACAATCACTTCCATAAGCTTCTGTTTTAAATTTTTCTCTCCCTGTCTCCCTGCCTCCCTCTCCAAGATGGCACACAATCTGATATAGGCTATATATTTACATTCCTATTAAACATATTTTCACATTTGTGATGTTGTAAGGAAGAATTAGAACCAATAGGAAGAACCACAAGAAAGAGAAAACAAAACAAAACAGAAGAAAAAATAGCAAATAGTATGCTTCAATCTGCATTCAAACTCCATAGTTCTTTATTTGGATGTGGATAACATTTTCCATCATGAGATCTTCGGAGATGTCTTAGATCCTTGCATTGCTAAGAAGGGCTAAGTCTATCAACATTAGTCATCGCACAACATGGCTGTTACTGTGTACACAATTCCCCTGGTTCTGCTCACTTCACTCTGCATCAGTCCATACAAGTCTTTCTAGGTTTTTCCAAAGTTCGCCTGCTCATTGTTTCTTAAAGCACAATAGTATTCCATTACAATATATGAACTTCTTAAAGGTGTACAGGGGCTGCTTAGACCAGACAGCTGCATACCTTAAGGAGCACTTACTTGTTCCAATACAGAGACTGATCTGATCTCTACCTTCCTAGACTTTCCAGGTTCCTGTCCATATTTTGAATCTAGGTAACACAAATGCAGACTTACTCCTGGGTGGAACTCCAGCAGACAGTTGCTTACCCTACCTAGCCTTTATCAGATAGCTGGAAGCCTTTGAAGTAACCCATGACCTTGTGGTTCCTAGTCTGGTCATTCAGCCCTGGACCTAGTTCTAGATATAGCTATGAAGTAAGAATGACAGAGCTATGGGCCCATTGTTGTTTCATGGATCCTACATGGTCACTTGACTGTGTGATGAATTTATGATCTTGGGCAGAAAAATGACCCACTATAGTTTTTTTCTTAGATTTACTGATCACTTCCTTGTTCTGGTACTCTTCTTAAATCTTTGTTGGAGTAGTCGTAGAGAGGCTAGGTTGTACTACTTACTTCTATCCCATCATCTTTGTTGGTCCCTCAAACATGGACATGCTTTGTGCTGCTGTAATAATCTGAAGTTGATGATGGATTTATTATGCCATCCCTGTTTCCAACTCACATTTAAATTTAATTCAACAAATGTTTTAAAATTCTTACTATGCTGTAAACATCATGAACTTATATAATGAACTTATGAACTAACAAACTTAAAATTATGTAAGTTATATATATGTACATTGTATATATAATGAACTTATAACAAACCCATGATGAACTTATCAACTAATAAAGAAGATAAATTTGTTACACATATAATTATAATACGGAATAAACAAGGTACATAAAAGTGCTAACTGAATTCAGAAGGAAGACAAGGAAAAAGGATCTGCATTAAAATGCTTGCAATGTTTTATATTATTCATGTGACACTGGGCAAGTTATTGCTGTTCTCTGGTTCTAATTTCTTATCTGTAAAATAAGGGCTAAATTTTTTTCTTGGCTTCATGGTTTAATGGAAAGGACAATGGAGTTGGAGGCAGAGGATCTGGGCTTGGATCAAAGCTCTGCCATATTCTACCTTTGTAACCTTGGGCAAACCTCTCTGAAGCTCAAATGCACCAACTTCAAAATAAAGCAGTTGGAACAGATAATGTCTAACATCTCTTCTGGATCTAAGTCTATGAACATTTCTGACTGTTGGCATGGAGATGAGGGAAGGCTTCATGGGGATGCCAGCATTTGTGCTCAGTCTTGGAAAATCTATAGAATTTCAACAAATGAAGACATGGGGGGCGTAGGAGGGAGGACTGGAGTAGGGAGTTGGCATTCCATTCATAGACAAGAGTGTCAACAAAGGCACGGAGGTAAGAAATACAGAATGTGCTTGTGGAGCAACATGCTGATTAGAGTGTAGGCTATGAGAAGAGTATTATGAGGGAAGGATACAAAGGAAGATGTTTCTAGTTTCAAATCCATTGATTCTTTCCAAACTAGTATGTGGAGCTGGGGCCATGTTCCAGATAGATCTTTGAGGTAAGAAGTACAGAACCACAAACCTATACTTGAATGTCACATTGAGATTAACTGATAGGCAACTGGGAGTCACTCTTAGGTTTTGAGTATGAGGATTAGATTTCTGCATACACAGAGAGATGGACTGAAACTATGGTTTCCTTGGAATAGGGAGCTTGTGGGGAAGAACTCCCTCTGGACCCCCTTATGGTCTTCAACAGTTGCCTTATGGCACTGAAATCACTTGCTCTGGGATTCCATGGCCAGTCTGTGTCAGGATGGGACTTGAATTTAGATCTTGCCAACTTTGAGGCCAATCTCTCACTACTGCTCTTTATAAATAGATGCTCGTGTAGCTGTATACTGCGTATTCCAAAAGTCTTTGTACAGTTTAAAACTTTAACTGCTTCAGACCACACCAAGACTTTTGGGATACCCTGCATTAGACTGATTGAAGGCACTTTGTAAGACTTTGAGGGATGGAAAAAGAAAACCCTCAAAGAAGACCCAAGATTCTTGATCGGGATGGACAAGAAGATAGTCTTCAGGACTGATGTTATGAATGGTGTAATCTCTCCTTGAGAAATGCTCAACCTGTACATTGAAAGAATCTTATGATTAGGCCTGGAAGAGATTTCAATGATAGTGGAGCCCACCCCTCTCACTTCATATAAGAGGAAACTGAGGCCCAGACTCTTCAACCTCTGCATAAGGAAAATAATAAATCTGACAGATTTGCACAGCACTTTATGATTCCTGGACCACCATTCCATATTAATTTGACTGCCCCCAATCAAAGAACAAACATTTATTAAGCACTTCTGTATTCTTTAGAACAGGTTCACTTAACATTGAGAAGGTTTATATAACAGACAAACTACATCATTTATTTGGAAGGCACTCCGGAGATCTCTGCCAGGTTTTCCTCAGATGCCTTCTTTTCATTTTTTTTTTTATTGGTAGGAAACAAAACAGCCTGAATACAGTTGTTCTCCCACCCCAAAACTTTCCACCTTCAGACAGGGGAGAACATACCATTCATCATACTGTACATTTCCTTTGTAGTAAATATTAGTGGTTTTAATTACCAAATTTTGTTGACTCAACGTAATATGCAGTTTGGGAGTTGAAAGGAGCGTGAGTAACTAAAATCACCTCCCATTTTCCAGGAACTTTGTTCCCTAAATGCAGGAAGTTGTAAAATCTCTGATAGCAAATCTGATTGATCCACGGGGCCACACTGCAAATGACGGTCTGCTGGGGCGTCAGTGTCTCGATGAAAAAGAGCCAAGAGATGAAGTCAGGGCGGCTCAGCCGTCAATCTTTACTCTGAAATTAGGGTGAGTGGCTAATTTTTGGTTTGGGCTTTGAAGTAGGGTTAGGCCTTTTTCAGTCACGTCTATCATTCAGCAGGGAGACTGTTCTTCACAGCTGAGCTATGCCCTTTTTCTGTAGGTAATTAACATCTTTTCCCCCCACCATGTCATTACTTTGTTATTGTTCCCATTCATCAAGTGCTAAATATTTCTTTAAAATTCTGATGGCCTTGACACGTTAAACTGTGCCCCCCTTATTGACGATATTAAATAACGCCTTCAAAAACTCCCTGCCCGGGCTTTGGTGCATGTTCTGATCAGACTCACAGGGCAATGTCTCCTTCTTGGCATCTTTGTTTGTAGAAAGGGTTCTCATGTACTAAGGAATTTGAAAATACATTTTTAGTTCAAAATATGGCCCAAAGCAAAGGGAAGAAGGGTGGAGAAGAAAATCATTCTCTTAAGAGCTCTTGAAACATACGCAGACAAAACGGATTCACCTCCATAACACTAGAGCTTGGGGACTTTCCATTTACTTGGCATACATCTTTTAAGTACATGCTTATGTATATGTTGTTTTTCACACTGGAATGTAAGGTCCTCCTTTCATATTTAGTGCTTAGCCCGGCCCCTGGCACATGATCAGCCCCTTTATAAAGACTTGTTAACTGATTCACTGGGTTTAGAAATAACAGTGACAAAATCAAAAGGTGTTATTAGAGCCTATTGTGAATTGACTGATCACTGACCAATGACACTCAGAAGTCCAATATTGGAAGGTCCTTCCCCGCCCTTTTCGGGCCCTCTCTATCTGTGCCAAGTCATTTCACTTCTCTTTGTCTCAGTTTTCTCCACTCTAAAATGGGATCATAATAACATCTATCTTCCAGGGTGTGGTCAGGATCAAAGGATATTTGTAAGGCTCTCAGCATAGTGCATGGAACATAGTAAGCACTATATTATATCTACCTATCTATAGCACATACATACATATTACATATAGCTCATATATATATACATATATGTTTTATGTGGGTTGTATATATGTATATAAAATGTATATAGTACTTCCCATGTGTTAATTATTTTTTCTCTGTAGTACCTTAGTATATGTGTATGTATGTATATATGTGTGTATGTATATATAGAAAGAGAGAGACAGAGAGAGAGAGACAAGGAGGGAGAGACAGGGAGGGAGGGAAAAAGGGAGGGAAGGAGGGAGAAAGAGAGACAAAGAGAGAGAGAGAGCGCTCACTAATATCTGAGTAGTGGGGAGAGAGGATCAGCAAAGTCTTACATAACTCCAATACATTTCTCAAAATATATTTAAGGACAATATGAAGAAAAACATCAGTGAACTTCTGAAACCCAAGCTTCAAACATATATATATATATATATATATATATATATATATATATATATAAAATGTGTATGTGTATATGTCAATATAAATATAAGTATGTTTACCAAGCTTTAAGCATATATGTGTATATGTATGTATGTGTGTTTATAAATCCAAGCTTTGAGTACAAATATATGAAGAGAAAGAAGATAACACAAGCTTTAAGTATATATGCACGCATATGTACATGTATGTATGTGAATATATGTATACGCGTGCATATGTGTATATACACACACGTACATGTATGTGTACGTGTGTGTATATGTATATGTGTGTATATATACGTGTGTATATATATGGATATATATATATCCATATATATATATATATGGATATACATATATGGATATATATATATATCCATATATAATATATATCATATATATATATATATATTGGTATACATATACACACATATATATATCTTGGATTTCAGATGTTCACACTCATGTTTCCTTTATATTATCCTTAAATACATTTCTCAAAATGTATTGGAATTATATAAGACTTTGCTGATCCCTCCCACCCACCCAGATATTAATGCTTTCTCATTCCTGAAATTACTTCGTATTTCCTTCTCTGTCCCATCAGAGAGGACCTGACTGACATCCTCCTCCTAGCATTTTCCACTTATGAGATCCTTGCTGGAAAACACTAAAAGTGGCAAAACTTTAACTTCAGTTAACCACTTTTAGTCCTGGGGAAAACCTCATAAAAGGAACCTTACTCCTCTCAGTAGAGAAGTGGGGGTCTACTGGTAAGGAATGCTGACTACTTCAGATTCAGTGACTGCATGGAATTTAACTCTCTCATTTACAGATGAAGATGAGAGATTTTAAGTCATTTGCCCTGGGATACACAATTTCATTTTCCATTTTTATAAGGGATGCCTCAGCACAGATGCGAATCACTTTTGCTTTTTCTTTGTATCTCCGGTGCTTGGTCTAGTTTCTGGCAAAAAGCAAGTGCCTAATAAATGATTGTTTATGTAAAGGAAAGAATACGCCAAAGCAAAAAGCATCAGTAATGCTTAGACAACTGAAATTAAACAAATAGAATCATTACCCCCATTCTAAAAATGAAGAAATACATTTCAGTTCATTGCACATGTGCCTATTGTGATCCAAATTTCTCTGCTCTCTCCTATAGGAGAGATAGAGCTTAGATAATAAACAGAGGCCAGTGGAGAGAGCTGACTGGGTCTTGTCCCCAAGCCTTCTGGCTTCACGTCCTGCAGTAATTCTGTTACCCTGAAAAACAGCCTGGCCTAGTGGATTCAAACTTAGAATAAGGAAGATCTGAGTTCAAATCCTGCCTTAGACACTAGCTCTCATAGGGCAAACAATCAGTCAGTCAATAAACATGCCTATTATGTGACAGGCACTGAGCTAAATGTTTCGGAAGAAGAAGAAGAAGAAGAAGAAGAAGAAGAAGAAGAAGAAGAAGAAGAAGAAGAAGAAGAGAAGAAGAAGAAGAAAAAAGAAGAAGAGAGAAGAGAAGAAGAAGAAGAGAAGAAAAAGAGGAGAGAGAAGGGAGGAGAAGAAGAGAGAGAGAAGAAGAAGAAGAAGAAGAAGAGAGAAGAAGAAGAAGAAGAAGAAGAAGAAGAAGAAGAAGAAGAAGACAGTTCCTGTTTCAAAGAACTCACAATCTAATGGGGGAGAGAAGAAGCAAACCAATATGTACAAAAGTTATAAGCAGAATAAATGGAAGTAATGAAGAGAGGAAAGGCACTAGAATCAAGAGGGGTTGGGGAAGACTTCCTGTAGAAGATGAGATTTTAGTTGGGGCTTAAAGAAAGCCAGTAGGTGGAGATGAGGAGAAGAGTATTTCAGGCATGGGGGACAGCAAAGAAATGCCCAGAGCTGAGAGATGGAGGGCCTTGTTTGTGGAGCAACCAGAAGGCCCGTGTGGCTGGATCTAAGAGTGTGTGTTGGGGAGTAAGGTGTGAGGAGAGTGGAAAGGCAGGGCTTTAAAGGTCAAATAGAGAATTTTGTGTCTGATCCTGGAGTTGAACCGCTGGTTCAGTGAGTAGGGGGCATTGCTAACTGATCACGGGTAAGTAACAGTCTGGAAGGGACATCAGAAGGTATCCTCATTTCATGGATCGGGAACTGGGACATTGAGAGTTAAGGGTACCTAGAAGTAAACATCCGACACGGGGTTGCAACCACTCCTGGTACTTCCCACGCTATAACAACCTTCCTCCAAGTCAGCCGACTTTTTTGAGCCTCATTTGTAAAATGGAGATTATGTTAGTTGTGATGATCAATCAAAATAAATATAAATCCCTTGGCAAACCACAATGCATTGTATATAACGGGAGTTGCTGCTGTTGTTGTCGTTGTTATTATTGTACCTGTCTACAGGAATTTGATGAGACCATAGACTTAGAGGTGAGATAGACCTTGAAGGACAAACATCCTCACTTTACAGTCAAAGAAATAGACCCCGTGAGGTTACAATTGTCCCATGGTCATACAGGGAGTAAGTGGAAGAGCTAGGATTTGGACCAGAGACATCTGACTCCATATCTGAGTCAAGAAGACTTGGGTTCAAATCCTGCCTCAGACACTTACTGGCTGTGTGACTCTAAGCAAGGCTATTTTAAATATGCAGACCTTAAAGTTCTATATACATGTGACTCATTGCTATTACCACAATATATTTGTAGATCTTCAAATAGTTATGGGGTAATAACTAGAGACGAAGGTGTATCCCCCACCGGGCCCAAATGAGATGACCCCTCAGCAGGGGCTTGAAGCAGGACAAAGAATAGGGAAGTCAATGCATAACCATCATTTTGATGTTGGGATTTGGTGCCAGGAAGATCTGAGTTTGAACCTACCTATGATGTTTATTCACTGTGTGATTCTGGGTAAGCCACCTCTCCCAGACTCAGTTTTCTTATGTGTAAAAGTGGATAATGGCAATAGCACCCATCTTATGGGGTTTCTGTATGCATCAAATAAGAAAATATGCATACCATGTTTACAAATCTGCAGCCTAGACATTTTCTTACAGAGTTTTGTCTTTGGAGAAGAAAGCCCAATGATTGAGTGTTCCTCTCTTCCAAGAAAGTTTCTGTTGACTTTCTTTGCATATTCCATTTATTAATTGAGTAGCACCCTTTGGACTTCCTGAAAGAACCTATCAATTTCCCCATAGGTGAAGACTAGTAGTGGTGATTTGGGGGATGATTTGGGGGCTGAGGCTGCCATTCAAAAAAGTATACCACTTGAAGGTATGGAAGGATATTTGTGAGGCAAAAGCCAAGAAATGTCATCATTTGACCTCATTCACAGAATATACAGCTTCTTTCTGTCCCTGACATATGCCCCAGAGCCAGTGAAAAGATGAAAAAGCCCATCTGGAAACATGGTTGCTGAATGACTACAGATGTATAAAATTTTCTGATAAAAACCTTCATAATGCAGCCAACACTGGAAGTCCGCAGGCTGTAATTTCCCTAACTTCCTAGCAACCAAGTAGACAGAATCCTCTAAGTGTGTTGGCCTTGGGTTCTGACACCCCACCCCACCCCACCCTCACCAGTAGAGCTTGGAAAACTGGGTTTTGATCCGTCTATTTCACTGACTCCAATATAGCTCACTTCTCAGG